TTATTTATGATATTCAGCTTTACAAAATTTTACATTTTTTGTGTACAGCAAAGTGATGCATTGAAGAAGTCGCTACAGCTACACCATCCCCACTAACTTCCTCATGACCTTGGAAAACTTCTGGTGGGAAATCATATTCGTCATCATACTTAAAAAATATACATTTTATCAGAACTTTAAGTTACTATTTAATTAATTTTTAGAAGTCGGTCAAATCAATGCAAAAATCAATGCACATAAACCAATTACTGAAAAAGTTTATTTACTTGTTTATCGTAATAACCAATCCACTCATCAGTCTGTCCAGACCGCTGGGTCATTCCGATTTCCGGCTTATTGCTATAACGGCGAACAGCGTAGTCTAACTGAGCTGGTGAACGACTAGAAAAAGCTTACGTTTTTAAGCGCATTAAAAACAAAAAATAAAAAGTTACACTTATTTGTAAGGATTATAATTCGCTTACCCATGATGTGCGAAAGCAGGTCTCATGTAATTGTTCATATTATCTAACGAACCAGATCGAGCTTCATCGTTAAATATGATAGGGTAGCCAGGAGACATGTTGTTATTACCTAAAAGCTCCAAATAGAAAAATGAATACTACGTCGCAAAATTCACAACACAGCACAGGAGAGACATAAAATCTCAAGTAAATCTTGGTATGCTCCAAACCTTTTCCCATTTTCATGTCACCAAATTGGTGTAACTCCAAGGGCATAGTCATATTATTCTCATGCTGATCAGTCTGATAGCAAAGGTTTCCTTCACCGTCAAACCCGGGAAATCCTGCTAAAAATTGAAAACAACTCAAAGATGAGTAACGATGAAAGAAAAAGACCAGAAAATCACGACAAGAACTTCAAACCTTTGTTCTGCAAAAAGCGATCTACACGGAAATCCCTACGAGCAGAACCACCTCCGTTAGTATTGCTTCTATTACTACCAGATCCCGGAGACCGCAATGCAGTAGACTTAGAGATTTCAGTTTCAGAACTTGAATTGGTATACGGTTGTCTGCCATAATTATTCGAATCTGGTAGTTGAGACATGTGAACAGGTACTCTATAAATAAGAAAAAATTTAGAGAACTACAATTTTTATCTAAAACTGATAACTATAACTGCACGATGTGAAATAACATAATAGAAAATGACACTGGCAGAGTGAGTTGTGGTATTTTACAGTAAGTTAGTTGTCTAGGTCATCCAAAAACTGTTCCACAGTAGTACAGAAAAGATAAATCTTATTTCAAGTAAAGAATATACTATTGACTTACCCTGAGTAATTCATGTTCTCAGCAGGTGGTTGCGAGAAAGAATTTTTCAAACGCTTCTTCTTGTTGCGATGGTGCGTTTCAGTTGAAGCCTCTGCTACCTCAACATCTTCTGCAAATGTGACAGACCTATTAACTAGAAATTTAACTTGATGTTTTTGTGCGCGATGTAACCAAACTGATATGGTTTTATTGTCAGTTTACTAGAACTAATTTTCACTCCATATTATCAAATCTGGTAAAAAATGTAATGATTATCGTACTACACAAGACTGTAAATCCAGTTAATGAAAAATCAACTCTCTCACAAATAAATGTTATAAATAACAGCTGAAAAGAAAGTAAAAAAAGCCTGCCTTCTTCAGCTTCACAGTTCTGCGAATTCTGCTGTACTGGAAGTAAAACGGATGTTGGAGCCGCAGAAGGTGTCATACTGGCAACAGCACTATTATTCGCGGAAAGAAGCATATCTTGCAAATATGGCGGACGTACTCCTAACTGAGCCGGTGTCTTTGTTTCCTCTTCACTATTCCCTTTAGTTGCTGCTGCGTTATCAGTCACACTAGAAACATTTTAACTACCACAGGTACTTACGAAATCTTTAATTTATATCATCAAGGAAACTCACGTCTTTACGGCAGCATTAGCAGGATTAATTGGAACATTTACACGTCGTCTTCTTGCAGGCTTGGCTTTTTTTGTATTTTCGTATGCCTCATCACCATGAACCGTTTTGATGTGTTTTCTCAAAGAGGAAGGGTCAGTATAACTCTTTTCACATTTGTCGATCATACATTGGTATGGTTTCTGAAATACTTATACGAAGCTGCTTTGTTTGAAGTAACTAGATAATATTTATACTAACTGCTGAATCTTTGAAAATAGAAAACAGAATAGAACAAAATAAAGAAACTGCACAGGAGAAAATAAAAAAGAAAACGAATTTTTAGACCAATTAACAAAGAAAACTTACGGTGTCTGAATGTGTTCGGTTTTGATGTTTCGCTCGATCAGAAGCATTGCTAAAAGCCTTCCCACAGTCGGCGAATTCACATTTGTACGGCCGTTCACCAGTGTGAGTCCGTAAGTGAGTTTTTAAGTTCTCCAGGCGACTATAAGATTTGTCACAACCAGCAAACTTAAATCACAAAATATTTTTTAGTAGAGCAACTAATTATATATTTATAACGAAAGGATACTGTTGAAAAAAAACGTACAGTGCAAACATTAGGCTTTTCACCAGTATGTCGTCTAACATGAACAACCAGCATATACTGAGCCTTAAATGCTTCTTCCCTGTCGCAGCCGCGCCATTTGCAACAAAAAATTTTTGATGCCTGGATAAATAATTAAAAATTTCCATGTGATACTAAGAGCAAATAAAAGTTTTCGCCGAAAAAAACCCAGCCTTTAATAGACCAAGAAAAATACCTGTATGTGTGCAGTAGACACATGTTCAACTAGTGCCTTTTGAGTGGAAAAATTCCGATCGCATCCTTCCCACTCGCAAACCATTTCTTCCGTTGAAACCACATCTACTATTTCGTTAGAATTCTGAGAGTTGTTAGAGTTTTTTCTGGCCGAATTTCTACAAAAAAAAACAAGTGTAATTTTCACGACAACACTTCTACCTGTAGTAAAGTCTGCAGAATAAAAAAAAGCTTTGTACATCAAGATCCTTTTGAATTAACAGTTCAAATTTTGCATTAATATTTTATACCCGCATGTCTCAAATACTCTTCTCCTCCAAGAAAAACGGCAGAATACAAAGTCCCTCCAAGTTACTAAATTACTTTAAACAAGTAGTTCGACAGCTGCATTAATATTTTATACCTATCAGTCCTAAAACTCTCTAACATACATCAAATGTTATTATTGCGAGCCTAAATGAGCAAAGTTCTAGGTAACTATAAGATTTTGACAGCTACCTGACTAGTAGACAAATTAACTTCTAGATAAAACTTTTACGCTTTATGTGCCAAGATATTTTGCTCCTATTCGACGAAAAAAAACTAACTTTTGAGCTTCTGGCAACGCTGACGTTGATGGCGTCGGAACTTCATTCAGTCGCGGCACCACTGGACTATTCTTGGAACACCCTGGTTCGTCAACAATTACATTCCCACCATAATTTTGGATGTGAGTTTTAATGACGTGTTCGTTTGCAGCAAAAGCCTCCTTTTCGCTCCTAAAAATGGCGCTAATTTGATTTCAGTAAAATTAATCAAATTAAATTAAATCACAGCAAAAAACTGCAAAGAGTTCTGCAAACATCCTCCAGCAATAACCCAACAACAGCAAGAATAACCAGTATTATTGAGATCAAATCATAAGTATATTATAACAGCCATATATGTACCATTGATTTACCTTACCTTCTACGATACTTTTTCTCCTGCTCTACTGGAGGTTTCACCTAAAATAGGAAATTTTTATATGATAAGCACCATGATTCCTTGGTCTTTTTTACTAGAGCTTTTGTTATTAGAATCCAAAAAGATAAGTCGTCCACAAAACTCTAGAAAAAATTATGCACAATCAGCCTGCGAGAAGAAGAAGTGTTGCAAGATTCTAAAAAAACTGTAAAAGCGGACTGCAGCTGAGAACAAAAATTGGGTTTGCTTATGACAAGCTTTATGAATGCAACTTACTTGAATAGAATTTGCATCGAAAAAAAAACGAAAGAAAGATGTTCCTAGAGCTACTTCGTCAAAATTAATCAAATAGTTTTTGCTAGATATTTGTTACCCTCACTGGTTCCATAAAGTAGTTGCGTGAATACGGATGAAAACCTAGTTACTACCGACCTACTTTTATTTTGTTTTCCACAAAAAAAAATACAACATTACAAAAATTTATTACTTAAAAAAGCTTTAAAAAAAAAAGAAATAAAAGAAACCATATTATTAGTAGCAGCTGCTGCAGAAACCGTCCGAGCCTGAGCTAACACCTGTTGGAAATTATTCACGGAAGCATCTGCAAGGTTCATACTTTGTTCGAAATCCATTGCCTGTGTCATCAATAGCGATGGTTTGGTACCCGAAACACTGCTAACTGTACCACTATCAGAAAACGTATGCAGACTACTGATGGAACGTTCATTCTTCCGTTTACGGCTGTATTCGCCTAATGCAAGATCTGAAAAAGAAAATAAAGAAAAAATAAACAATTAGACAGTTGAAGTGATGGTAAAATGACTTTTTTCTTTTCAAATGCAAATTGACTAACCTTCCATTGACGAAGATGATACTGGACTCATCATTCCAAATGGAGGTATACTCAGTGGCGCATAGTGTGATACATAAGGCGTTGGTACATTAGATATATTAGCGATATTTGGCGGGGTTAGTTGGGGTATCATATTTTGACGCTGATATAAAGCCATTACTGCTTGTCTAAACAAAAAAATACGCAAATAATAGTTTCCCAAATCGAAAACTTCTTATTTCTTAAAAAAAAATGCATATAAGTGCTGCGTTTATTCTGCAAAAATTAAAATGTAAAAAATACAATGCAACATCAATAGCAACACCACCACTGTCACTATCACCACCATTGAAAAATTTCTTCCACTAAAGTTAGGTAATTTGTATAACTGCAATAACAAACGGATTAACAAAACAGCAGTTATCTCAGGAAAACTGTAACTGATTAGTTTGCAAGAAATACAGAGAACAACAGCAGCAACAACAATGATGGGTAAAAATAAAAAGAATTAATTGTGCTGAATACTTTAACCTTACTCTTATTAGCAAATTTAAATAAGCAAAAGGAAACAGAAAACAATTGACGCTTATTCGTTCTCAAAGATGTCAATATGGTCACCCAGAGCGCGACATCAGCAATCAGAAATGAAGTAAAATGAAAAATTTCTCGTATTATTTAGTTATTTTTCAATCAGTCACCCATACTGTTTTCATAGATTTTATTCAATTGAACAGATATTACACAAAAATAGTTTATAAGGTAAAGTGGAAGATAAAAAATCGAAAATTTTTTCAGTGAGGAAATAAAAGAAAATGGAAGAATTTTTTTTTTTTT